CGGGCTATATCGGGTAAGATGTGCCACAGACAGCAATTTCACAATGCCACTCGGAGCAAAGGAGGGATACAAGTTAACGATGCGCTTTCAATAAAACATTCATAGACTTGCTCACGCTTTGATAATGACCTCATTAAAGGGAGCTGGGGGCAAGTAAGTCCTGTCTCCTGTTTGTGTTCGACTAACAAAACCCAGCTTTGAGATCATTCATCGCTTTGGAAACTAATATGAAATCAATGTAAGAGGGGCAGATAAATCTGAGGCAGCCGCCAGCTCCCGGCTGTCCCGCCAGCTCCGGGCTGTGCGCCCTGCTCCCGGCCTGCGTGTGAGCAGGAGAATCGTGTGGGTAAATGCTGAAGCCAAGAGAAAAAAAACAGGCCTGAGGGTTAAAGGGGAAACTTTGGGGGGGATGCAGAGGGAGGAGCAAAGTGGGAGCTTACAGCCAAGCAAAAGAAAAAAACAACCCTGCTAAGCACGTCCTAGGGTCAGAACTCTGGGCCTGTTGGATAAGCAATGCTAAGCCTTCCCCTTGCCCTTGCCTTTATTTTCCCTGACTTCGCCCATGAAAAGAAACTGGAAAAAATGAAGTGAGAGGGGGAATGTGGGGTTCAGGTCAGGTGCATCCCAGAGTGGGGACAACGTACTAGGAGACCTTTTGAAAACTAGAACCAAGACTTCCAATCTGAAGGCTGAGCTGGAGGACATCGCTCACCTAGGCTCACGTTAAGAGAGTCCAGAGCTAGACGGTGATGCCGCTGTTCTCTTAAGAACTGCTTTGATTTTCTTTTTCTATTTTTTTTTCTAAGTAGAAGGTAAGAGTGGGGTGTCCAGGCCAAGAAGAGGTGGGGAGAACATTTTGGTTACCTTTGCATTTGTGACACAGTCTTGCACTCACCAAAGACAAAGCCATCCTCTAGCGTCCTGTGCGAGAGGGAGGGAATCAAAGGATTTCCCCCTCCCCTTAAAAGAACTCATTTTCTCCTTGAATTATGAAAGTAATGGCTTAGGTAACAGCCTGTACTCTGTACCCGACTGCTTAATACCGAGTAAATCCTTCCACGTGGCTCCCCGAGTCGTGGCAATTAGAGCTCATTATAGGCTCATAAGAGCTCTCATTTTGGGGATTACTTAATGGACGATGAAATTTTATCGGACAGAATCACTGAGAAATAAAATTGTGCGGCGGGGCAGGCACCATGGGCGCACGCTGCCCTTGTGTCGGCTTCCTCGCAGGAGAAGGAGGGCTGAGCTCCCCATCTCCTGCTCCAAGCTAGTGCAGGGCGCTGCTGCCCTGGAATTTCACAGGGCAGGGCAGGGCTGGGGCAATGCTGCCCAGGGCCATGGAGGTTAGACTGCCTTTTGAAGGGGAGAATGGTGGGCTGGCTTCTGAAGATGGCAGCAAGAGTCCAGAAGGAACGAGACAGGGAGACAGTGAGAGATGTCAGTGCCAAAAAAAAAAAAAAACTTAAGAGTGTCAGAGAGGGCAGAGACTACACCCTGGGGTAGGAATGAACCGAGTACCCGAGACACGTTCCCGACATAGGTCCTGTGTCAGCCTCAGCCCTGCCCAAATCTGCCCTTGGCTACCCCATGGGCCCCTCACTTTTCTTGAATTCTTTGGCGCTGGAAATCGAACGTGTCTGTAGATGTAAGCTGTATGAGATAGTCAAGTCTCTCGCATCATTAAGATCCTCTACAGGGAACCAGCAGTTAGCATATGTAATGGCTATGTCGCTGGACTCCCACAGTAGTTGACCCTGGTTCGAGTCCCGGACCCCTGGTGGCTTCAAACTTACGCCGGACGTGTGTGCGTGCGTGCCCAAGATCCTGAGAGGAGAATGGAGGAGAAGGGATTGCGGCGTGACCATCCCCACTGGGGGGTGATTTCTCGATTTCTGTCTCTCTGTCTCTCTCTGTCTGTCTGGCGAGCGCATGCGCCCTATAGTGAAAATCTCTCAAAAAAAAAAAAAAAAGATCCTCTACAATTGTCTGCATGATTTCTAGCATAGGAGTTCTTCTTATGAGCACACTCCAAACTACTGGGAACCTTGTCATCCAAAGCATCAGCCCAAAACACACTGAACAGTCTTCTGCCTGGTAGAAAGGTGGGGGGGGTATTACTCTTAGAGACATCAAATATCTACTTGTAATGTGAATCAGGGAAATGGAGTACCTATTTGGACAACTTGGGCTTATCAAATAGATCTTGCCATGAAGTCTCTCTCTGGATCGTGGAGCTCCGAGTTGTTTCTGGGGGGCTGAAGTGATTTCAGGAGCTGCCGAATTCTCTTGTCCCAAGCGAGGGTGGGCTGGGCCAGATGGGCTGGGTGAGGCTGTGTCTGCGAAGACGGCCTCTGCAAACCTTGCGGTACAAAAGTAGTTCCAGCTGAGCTGCCCCACGGTAAGCCCTGAGACTCCCTAATTGTTGTCACAAGATGTTGGATTAGCACATTTCTGAAATAGCTGTCTGTTTACACTCTGGAGACCCACCGTCCACTAACCGCTTTCTAATTGAATTCTAATCACATTCAAATAGCTCAATAACCAGCCTCAGCTGCAATTCATAAAACTTTAATTGCCATCCATAAATCCTGGGCTCCCCAGAGCGGGGCATCCCTACAACCCAATTACACTTCTCCAGCAAGCAAGAGAGATGGCTACAGAGAAGGGGAAGGGGAAGAGAGAAAGACTGAGGATGGAGAGAGTGGCCCAGGCCTTTGGCTGGTGCTTTCCTGGATTTGAACCCTCTCAGGGACGGGAAATCCTGTCTCCAAGTTTCTTAGCACAGCAGGAACTCAGATCTGAAGGTAGCTATTCTGGGGAAAAGACTGGACTTGGGGCTGTCACTCAGCCTCTCTGTTCCAGCTTGCATGTGCAGAAGGGAAAGCTGTCACCTCTGCAGCCTTGTCCTCCCCAGAGATCAACAGTCCCAACCTGGCAGCTGCCCTCACATAATTGGCCTCCCCCCCCCCACACACACACACACAAGCCTTCCACAGAACCATCCCACCCAGGGAGAATTCCTTTACCTAGCAGTCTCCCAACACCAACCCCAACCCCTGCAGGATTCCTTGGGTGGCTGGGTACCTTTCAACCTTTGTAGGCATTTGGAATACAGAAAGGAGAGTGCTTCCCGGTAAGCCTTGCTAAGCTGCCCAAGCTCTGTAAAAATGAAAGCGCTGGAGGTCAACAGACCCAGCTCAAAGGCCTTCCCCGACTCTTGAACAGTCTTCCAGGGGATTGGTGCTTGGGGTCCTCCGAAAGTTTTGGGGCAGAGTTGGTAAAACTGGCCTGGAAATACTCTGATGTAACTAGCGGGAGAAAGAGAAGGCCACACACACACACACACAAGCCTTCCACAGAACCATCCCACCCAGGGAGAATTCCTTTACCTAGCAGTCTCCCAACACCAACCCCAACCCCTGCAGGATTCCTTGGGTGGCTGGGTACCTTTCAACCTTTGTAGGCATTTGGAATACAGAAAGGAGAGTGCTTCCCGGTAAGCCTTGCTAAGCTGCCCAAGCTCTGTAAAAATGAAAGCGCTGGAGGTCAACAGACCCAGCTCAAAGGCCTTCCCCGACTCTTGAACAGTCTTCCAGGGGATTGGTGCTTGGGGTCCTCCGAAAGTTTTGGGGCAGAGTTGGTAAAACTGGCCTGGAAATACTCTGATGTAACTAGCGGGAGAAAGAGAAGGGTAACT